CACCTAACCAGATATATTTCTTGATGTAACATAGTATGTTACACCAATGCCAGTGCCTAGGGCTACAGGGCCAGAGCACGGAAAGCGGTACCCCCAACTTCACAGAATATAGTTGACTGTTATACAAGTCGTATAACACCAGATATATTTATTATATATTTGAAAATCATCACCAGTAGGATTCGAACTCTAAACCTGGCCATCTCGAATGCAACAACTTAACCACTTCACTAAGTCGCCACATCCTTTGTTGTTATAGTTAAAAATTTATATATTGAGTTCTAGTTGGTGTTTTCTTAAATATTATTTTAGTATTTAGTTTTGTTAAGAGCATGTCATTTTGTTGCCCTATGAAAAAAAATATACTAAAATTATCTTGAATTAATACTAAAAATTTTCCATATTAAATTTTGTATAAAATTATACAGAATTTGGCATGAATTCCATATTACTTCATATGAAATATTTATATGTAAACCTTTTTATTTATAATTTAAAAGGTATATATTGTGTTAAGTTTGATATACAGTCACACCCTCCTAAGTGCATGTAGTAGAGACTATATATAATTATGCACTTAAAGAGGATATGCATTTATAGAATTAACCTCTTTAAATGCATGATTTAAGAATTAGAGATAAATATGCACTTAGAAAGGGTTTTGATTATCAAAATAAATAAAAATCTGGTTAATCATATATTATAAATTCGTCATATGGATTAATGTTTTAGGGTGCTTTTAAGCATCTTCCTCAATGTGATCAGTTAGTAAACAAGATTGTACACAAGCAACCTAATTAATTGAGGTCATTCTTATAGCAATTTTGCTAAAAGTTCATAGTATAAAATGTGAATCTTAAATTTTAGCCAATAAACATAACTCTATGATAAAAAAAGATAATCTAGACCATCTTTTTTTTAAGTGCGATTACAAAATTACTTGACTGTCCAAATTATGTTCCACTAATTAAAAATTGAGCATCTTATATGAGTTTGACTTTTTACAATTGAGTTCGATGTGAAATTTTTAAGGCATACATGTGTATATACTTCCAATATGGTTCTTGAAGGCTTAGCAAGTCCAAAATTGAAAATAAAGTTAATTGTGAGTAGGGCAGAAATAACAGTAATATGGTAGGAATTCCATTTTTATAAGACAAGAACTGGTGCTACAGATCAAAATCATGTTTTTTTTTATGCATTTTATTTTTATATAGAAGACAAAAACTAACACCAAGGGTTAAAATAAAGATTTTTTTTTTATGTACAATACGTAAAATTGAAAAATATGTGTTACTATTATTTTTTAATTCTGTGGTACTATTTTATTACTTTGAACAATGCTATATATAAATTTATTTTTTAATATCAGATAGATATCATTCAAAATGAAAAATTAAGCCCTAAGAACTTTTTTTAATTCATTTGTGAAAATCTAACCATTAAGCACACAATTAAAAATTTAATCATTCAAATTTTACATATTAATATCATAGAATTTTATCTCTATAAATTCATTTGAATTTCATTCCTATAAATTCACTCAATTCAGATTATTAAAACTTACAATTACTTTTTATTAAATTATTACTTTGACTTTAGCTTAATTCTAGGTTTGTATCTAGAACTAAACTTCTACATCAAACCTTATGTAGAACATTGTTCGTAAACATCTCATGCAGTACAAACTTTATTATCAAACAACTTATGATAACTATTATAAAATAAAATTAGGTTGTTCGACAAAACTGTGCTTAGAGCATATAAAAAATATATACTCTAAACATGATTTTGCCAGGCAATAACCCAAATGTTTACTTTTTGATATCATTTTTATGCATGTTTCATAAGGGCCATCCTAATAAATCCAATGGCCTTCTTTAAACTTACCGTTTAAATGCAATAAAAATGTTTTTTCTTATGAACCAAATTCAATTAGACATGTACCATACAGCATGAGCTAAAAGACCCCCTTTTATAATACCTCTTACAACTTTTAAAGGCCTAAAACATATATTAAATCATTAGTTATAATTAGAAGTTCAATGTCAGGTTTTCTCTTGATAACAATTATATAGTGCAACCTATATTTTCTATCTAATTATAGTATTTTCCTGACTATAATATCTATATATATAGATAACTTGTAAAGTACTTTGAGTATTTTAGTCCACACTATATGGTAATTTTGTAAGTTTTGTGTAATATAAAATTTTTAATACTGTAAAGACAAAAAAAAATCTGATTAAAAGTTTTCAGTTTTAAAGTAATAATAAAAAAAAAAATAACTTTAAATAACTTATCCTATAAAGTGATCAGTTTTTTTTTTTGTTCAAAAAAAAAATGCCTAAGTGAACAACTCTTACTGATGCTCAAAATCATGAATTTTGTGTCTATGCTCATGAAAATAAAAAAACTCAATCTCAATATGTTAATTGGATTGAGAACAAATAGGGTTTTAGAATTAATGAAAGTACAGTTTCGCTTCTTGAAGACAAGTAAACAATGACTTAAAAGTGAAGTTGTTAACTCTAATGCAAAGCATTACAGAACCATTACTTACCCAAAACTTGATCTCACTCTTAAGGAGTTTGTGCTGATTTATCAACATCAGACAGTTTTAAGTGACACTTTACTTATTGAAAAAGCAAAGGCACTTGCTGATAGTTTGGAGATTTCTCAAAGAGCATTAAATTTCTTTCCTGGCTGGCTTTATAAATTCAAAAATCGAAATAGTATTCATTTACACCAGCTTCAAGAAGAAGATGCATCCACTGATAAGGTGGCAATTGACAATATCATGTCAGTGATAAAAAATAAGTGCACAAATTATTCTGTTGAAAGAATCTACAACATGAACAAAAACTGGTCTTTTTTATCGATATAAATACTATTTTTATATAAGCTATCATCAATAGAAATCAAACAGATTTATCTAATAAATCTGCTTAATTTCTATTAATAACAGTCCATATATGTTGTATGAATAAAATTTAAGTTGATTTAAATTTTTTAAATTTATATCCACTTAAATTTCATTCCTACTTATAGCTATATATATTTTATATATTTTTTTTACATTACTAAAATTTACTTCTAGGTTGGAACCTGATAAAACATTAGTAACTCAATGTCTTTCTAGACATAAAAAGAACAAGGAATGCATAATGATTGCACTTTGTGCAAATGTCAATGGTTCACATAAGTTGAAACCTCTTGTAATTGGAAAATCTAAAAAAACACATTGCTTCAAAAATATAAAAGTTAAAAACTTAGATATAGAATATAAAAACAGTGCTAAAGCTTGGATGATTACATCCATTTTTCAAGATTGGATTGAAAAATTTGATTGACAAGTTGGTCTTAAGCATAATGGCCAACATGTACTCTTACTTCTTGACAACTGCTCTAGCTATGATATTGGCAATATTACTCTTCAATATACTAATGTTTAATTTTTACTTCCAAACACAACTTTAAGAATTCAGCCCATGGATGCCAGGATTATTATAAGCTTTAAGAGGTTTTATCGTTGCTATCATGTTTGGTAAGATTCTTTTTTTTTAATAAAAAATCAAAAAAAATAAAATAAAATAAAATAAAATAAAAAATAAATAAAAGAAAAAAAATAAATAAATAAAATAAAATAAAATAAAATAAAAAAATAAAATAATATAAGATAAAATAAAATAAAATAAAAAAAATAAAAAAAAATAAAAATAAAACTTTTTTTTTTAATAAAAAAAAAAGTAACCCAATGTTTTTTTTAAAAAAAAAATACTAATTATATTTTTTTTAAGCTGAATGCTACAAGAAATTGAAAAAGAAGAGCATGCAGAAGATTTGAAAATGAGTGTGCTACAAGCCAGTCATTATATTGCTAAAAGTTGGAAAGAAGTTGGTGCCAATACAATTTGAAATTGTTGGTGGCACACAAAAATTCTTCCTGTCAATACCAATTCTACTTACGAAGCCTCTCAGAAGATTTTTATCAAACTACTGATCCTGTGCTTAATGATATTGCAAATGCAATTGAAATTCTTGGCCTCCCCTACTCTATGCAAGTTGAAGAATTTTTGGAAATTTCCGATGAGAACATTGTTTATGAAGTTCTCTCAGATGAAGAAATTATTAGAGAACTTGTTGAAACATTCAGAACTAATGATCTAGCATTTATCAGCATAGAAGGTGTGAAAGATGAAGATGATAGTCCTGAAATCTCTATAGTCAGTATTGATACAGCAAATACAAGCCTGAAAACTATGCACACATTTTTGCTTCAGCAAGATGATATGGAGGATATTCTAGAAAAAATTAAAAAATTCATTAATAAAACAAAAATGAGTCAAATACAACAAAATAAAATCGATCAATTTTTTTAGGAAAGTATGGTAGCTCTCCTACAAAAAATTTTTTCTCCTCCTTATGATTTTATTCAATTAGACTGAAAGATCATATGTAATAAAATCTTTAAAGTTAGGACTAAGTTACATTAGAAGAAAAATTTCTTTAATTAATTTTTTGTAGATGATCTACAGGTGTTTTTTAAGGAAAGTTATATAAAGTTTACTCTAATAAAGATCTAAATTTTTTGCTTAATTGGGCCATGTAAAATTAATTAATTGTTTCTCATAACCTGGCTGGATCAACTTTCATAACTTTTTTGATACAAAATCTTATATAATGCTTCTGAGTTTTTTTTAAAGCTTACAGCTATTTTCATAATTTCTGAAACATCTACTCGTTATCTGAATTCTTTTTGGTCATCCAGTAAATTATCAAACTTTCTGGAAATTACATCGCTGCCTGGCCGAAGTGTTAGATAATTTACCAGATGTCTGAAAAGATTTTAGATAATGAGTAGGTGTTCCAGACATTATGAAAATAGCTGTAATATTTTTCTAGAAAAAAAAATATAAAAGCCAGGCAGATGGGTCACTTCTAGAATTGAAACAACTATTTAACCTTGAATAACCTTATAATAGCGATAAATGAGTAAAATTGAATACTTATTGGTTATAAATCTAATACTGTCCTGCATGATTCATTTTATATTTTGTATTTTGTATGCAATATAACTAGTTAGAGCATGTTAGAACAATGAATATAAAACATGCATGTATTTATGGGAATGCATATATATGCATAGAACCCTAAAATCTTATGCATATGTGGAATATGGAGGAAGACTAAGTTCTTAGCTTAGGACTGAGCTACAGTTTGCATATAGAGAGGGTTTGCACTTAGGGAGTGTGCACTTAGAGGGCATGCACTTAGGAGGGTGCGACTGTATAATAAATATAAGTTCTATTCTTAATAAATATAAGTTTCATACTTAATAAATATAAATTCTGTATATAATAAATATAAATTCTGTACTTAATAAATATAAGTTCCATATTTAATAAATATAAGTTCCATATTTAATAAATATAAATTCTGTACTTAATAAATATAAGTTCTGTACTTAATA